GGGGGGCGATCGCCCCCCCTGTCGTCTCTAGATAGCCGCCTGAAAGGTAGGCAATTTGCACCACAAAACCCCTGTATGTAGGCAACCGACAGTACATCGCCCCCCCTGTCAGCCGGACCTTAATCCGCCACTGGTGCGGTTAGAAAAAATGAGTCGTGCAAACATGTCGACCAGAAATTACTCCAACTTTTAGCAAGATGTAAAGTCAGATTTATTTTTACTTGGAAATGATCCCGGCCGTGACAATCGACTCCCGTCGACGCTCGCCGTCTACCGCGCCTATACAAAGTGTGAACACCTATTCATAAACTGAATTAGTGCATCTCAACATTAGTCTGAGTCTACTTTTGTGGTGAGGCTTTCTGCACAGACTATAATAACCTGCTATAACCCCAGTGGACTAGCCAAATCAAGGGATGGGATCAGTGCTCCTCTACTTCCTTCAGAGGCCAAAAACAAAGTTACACTGTAGATTTTTCATACTCTGGGTTGAATCAAAGTACCCAACCCTCCCCAAAGTGTTGTTGGGCCGAACATTGATGAATTTGCGGTGTGTAAGGTAAGGCCCCGTATTATTTTAGTTCATGGTCTCTACTGTACAATGCAACAAATATATTTCACAGAACTGTCTCTTAGGGACCACAAATATTTTAGTATTAAAGTATTCCAACTAAATAACAGAGCATTTGTGGGGTTTTCAAGTTTAATTCTAGTAGGCAGCGAGGTTTCAGTCTTAATGCTTAAACTAAGCGAGGTTTTAGATTCCACACTCAAATAGAGCGATGTTGAATTATTGGCTAGGATGGGGAATAGATGTTGTAATTAATTATTATGAAATTTGTCGTAAGTTGACAAATATTTTTTTTCACAGTGTATGACACAAACCCTGCCTTTTGCTGGATTTGTAAAATACATGGGTTGCAAGTAGATTTGAATGGGTCCAACGAACAAGTAATGGGCATAAAAAACTAACATTGATTGTATTCGCGTTTTAGCCCCCTCTTCTGCTTTAAAAAAGCTTCAGAGGGGGCTTAGCGATCTGGGAATTTATGCGTCGTTTTGTTAAGAATAGTTTGTGCTTCCTGAACTGTATACTACTTGACTCTTATGGGCTAACGCAGATAAAGTTCGCAGAGCCCCCACTACTATTGCAGCGTGTTTATGATGAATATACGGATGCTGTCAGAATTCAAAGATCAGTGAAAACAGTTACGCGTGGGACGTAAATTGCCAACATACTTTTTTGATTTTGATGTAGTCATTCGATAAAATTGATGAGATGTGTCGTGCTTGTCGCTCATGTAGCATTTTGTACAGAGATCGTAGTCCGCACATACTTTGCATTTCCATCGAAATCCTTTCACAGGGTGTTCCTTGCAAGCATCACATGTCACTGAGTTATGCTCCACTCCTGTCAATATGAAACATGGACCAACAAGAGAATCATGTTTTATTTTTGTACTTGATAATGATGTTATAATACGTGGCTGATTAACTCCGCTCACTTCTGTAGTTGTGGTTTACTGCACGCACAATAAGTTCGGGTGGATTGCCTTCTAGGTCGGCCTGCACTGTTAAAATAATTATCACCTCCAGTTTATAACAACAATGTTACATTCGTTTAAACCCTCTTGAAACGAGTTATATTCGGGGCATATTGGCCCACCTCAGAAAAAAACTTGGTATTACTTTGCTGTAATGTTGTAAATGTACATGAAAAGTGTGGATAATTTTGTTACACATTTCGGTTCAAAACAACGCACAACTCAACACTAGAAGCCCCATGGGAAACGCACGTAGCAGCAACGTCGACAGGACGTATGGCCTAGGTCGGTACAACATAGATCGGAGCGTTGCTGGGGTGGAGATTTTGACCGTGGATTCCACGTAGATGCAACGTGATTAATAAGGGGTCGTTTTCTACGTGGACGCAACGTTGCTGCTAGGTCGGGCAGACTATATCGCGGTGGAGGAACAAATCAACATGTATGGTTGTCTTTGTTTAGTCAAATTAAAGTTATGTTAAACAAATAGTTAAGTCCAGAGGTGCCCTTTGTACCGCCCGGGTGCTCAAGTGCACACATGATTCAAATATGTTCTGTGACTGGACCCTCCCATCGGGCGTGCACGACATGGGAGAGGACATGCTGGTACTTGTCCGGTTGTTGACGAGGAGACCTCCCGCGCGTTATTACCATGCCAAACTACACGGAAAAAAATAATTCGTTGCTTCAACCCATGTTTGAGTTGATTTGGAGCTTGCAAAAAGAATTCGTTGTGGGAACAAAATATCCCTTGTTTTAATCAAGCGTTTGCTGGTAGAACGAATTCTTAGTTGTGAGAGCGAATAGATCGTTGACGAAGTGAATAAATGTGATTGCTGGAACGGAAGCGTTTTTAGTTGAATCAACGATCGCCTTCGCTCTCTCAGCGATGTGTTCGCTGCTCCAACGAATTTTGCGTTGCATTAGCGAACACTTGGATGAGACAACGAATTAGTTCGTTCTCACAACCCAACAGAGTTAGTGATTCCTATATCAACCTACGTATGAGTTGGATGAACAAATTATTTTTCTCCGTGTACCAGTGGCGCCCTCTGCTGATGTTCAGGTATCACAGTCGCCAGAGGGCGCGCTTCAGCTAGTGGGCATACGATAGCACGTGGGTGGTCCCTCGTGTTGCCAGTCGTACAGTTATATGCGCGCTACTGAGCCACTGTCCGGAAGTGTTAATCAACAATCGACGTGAACAAATTTTTGAAATTCTGAGCCTGGTTCTGATAATCCGCGCGCTTTTCTGAGGAGTACCTGACTATCTCCGTCTGTTACATGTCTTTTAAGGAGACTTCACAGCTGCGTGCTGTGACGTAGAGTCTAGGTAGATATTATGGCATCTTCAAATCAGCGTCCCATCAACGTAAATGCTAGGTGATTTTCACTCAATAAAACCTCGCGCTGTCCACGTGGATGGGAGGTACTTTTTCTACATCAATAATTCCTCCTACAGTCTAGGTAGATACTACGTAGATTGGGCGTGTCGATGAACCTCCTGGATGATGCATTTGCACCTCTTGACCCTTCTGGACGTGGATGCGACGTGGATTCTAGGTGAAATTTCCCATGGGGAGGGCCGGGATTTCCATATACCTAGGAGGACCGGAGGGGTCATTTTGACCCCTCGACGATTTATTGCCGTTTTGTGGCTTGAAGGCTGCAGTTTTATGGCTCATGAGTCAGAATTTGTGTGTTTCAAGGTACCTGATTCCATGAAGTGACATGGAGTAGATTCAAGATGTGAAAAGATAGACAGACAACCTGCTCGAGACAGACAACCTGCTCGACACATTTTTTCCCAATTTTACAGCTATTTATGTTATCTGTTCGCAACATTTTAGACATCTTTAAACTTCAAAATTAATGTTCGACTTTTAGAAAACATGTGTAGGGTAAGGGGCCCAGTAGTCGACAGTACACCAGTAGTCGACACTTCCAGCTTTGCGATCGATTTCCCGCGAATTAGTTAACGTTAGAGTCTCGCGCGTTTTGCCGGGTTGTAGCGCACTCTATTGAGATCGTAAGGAACCTATTGCCGATTCTGTGCCACCTCCGGGAGCCGGTTGGTAGCGCTTCGCACAGAACACTGCTCGTCTCTCACATCGAGCTATCATATCTTAGCTACGGAGTAGTGGACAGGTGTTCGCTCGGAAGGTTCTGTGAGGCTGCCATTCACCCGAGCGGTTCCGGACGACGTTTGTGTTGTTGTCAAAGATATGTTTTATCTTTCCCCATTTAGGTTGTCGAAAATTTCGGTCAGGGGCGTAAATAATGGCGATGTCGACTACTGGGCCAGAAAAAGACATCTGTTCCAGTAGTCGACACTCACTTTATTTTGAGTGTGTGTTGCCTTCATACGGGCTAATTCCGACAACTAGGGCCCTTTGTCAACGTGAAATGTTGTTGGGATTGTGTGTCATTTATTTTCTTGTTCGTAATACATCATAATGACATCAGGAAAGCACCAGGTGTCAATACTGTGCCGAATGATAGAGTTTGCGTTCAGTGCCCCATTTGTGTAGAGCATTTCTCTGGGAATGTGCCCTGGTTGCCTGAGAAAAGTGTCAACAGACACAAGGGGGGAGGGGTGGAACCCCAATTGCACCGCCGCAGTCGCGCCAGTCCGGGCGGCTGACCAACTAGGGTGGAGTGAAAACCTGGGATTGGACAAGTATACCTGGAATAAAGTACTTCAAGATATCCCAAGACTTGCGGCACAGTCCATTCTGACTCATTGTCTGACCTTCAACCCCTCTCGAAGGGTTCGAAGTTAGGTCATTGAGGGAAATTGACACTTTTCGCCCCCCTGGACCCCCGTAGGCATAATCCCAGGAACGGCTATATGCGGTTCGGTGTGGAATTTATATAGGGAGATAACTCAGGAGTCGATAAGCTGTGTGATAACATCTTCAGTTTGCCCACAAGACATTTTGGGTGACAAAATAAGGTTTACTTACCAAGCTATGGCTAGCACTCCCGGTTTTCGTATGTCACATCGTGTCGTCCTATACATTATTAGGTGCGCTTTGACGAGACGGCACGGTTTTATTTCAGACTAATTGCGCTAAGGCAAATATTTTCCGATATGTAGCCGAAAAACGACGTTTTTATGAACCAGAAAAAATCTGTTTTCACCATATTTCAAAAAAGGTCGTCTGAAGGCCGAAAAAGCCGAACAGCACCTCGCAAAGAGGGCCGAGAAGGACACCCTGATGGCCAAACAGGCGACCGAGAGGCAGAGGCAGGCTAGTCAGGCTGCAGGGACCCGTCAGACACGGCAATCAGGGTAAAATGACTGAGTGTCGACTACTGGGCCAGGCAGTGTCGACTACTGGGCCAAAGGTGTCGACTTCTGGGCCAATGAACATTGTTTTTTGTTACACATTTCTGTGTACAAAAATGTATTTATTTCTATTTTCGACCCATGGGGTATTAAGTTTAACCCTTCCACTACACCCCCGAAATTTTTCCTTGACGCTACCGTACACCCTCGCTCCGTTGTAGGCAATTTTGCAAAGCCTTGCTCTTAAACTGTCGACTACTGGGCCCCTTACCCTATTTCAAAAGCGGGAGTGTGATCCACGCATATTTTTCACCAATTTGGCATTGACGGAAATGTGCGTGGCAAAAATTACCCCTCGGTCCTTTCTAGGTAAAAGTAGTAATTTGTTTGAATGTTCTTGTCCTCATATTTTGCGTCCAAGCGTCTTTCGGAAGTACGTGAAAAGTCGGAAAGTGATGAGCCGGTCAAAAAATTAATTTGTAGTTCATTTGGCAATTAAAAATGAAAAGGGGTCACTTTGACCCGTCTGGTCCTTCTAGTGTTCTTTCCCACGGGCAAAACAACATCGAAACAAAAGTCACTGTTTTCGGTCACAAACTTTGTTTCCGAGATTGTTATCAGTGAATGTTCTTTTTTGACAACAACATTGTGGTGCTTGGTGCTTAGAAGGATATGATAAACAGTGTTTCGCGCGCTGTGCTGTGGACTGGGGCAATAGGCAAGCCCACCTTAACTCGTGCGTGCGGTAGAGAATAACAACAGAAGTGAGTGAGCAGCGTTCTTGGGTCACACTAGTGTGACTCGCTAGTTAGCGTCTTTCAAAATAAAATTGGTATGCCAATACCATACAACATGTGGAAAATTTTTCGAAATCCCCGTTTTGATCAAATCCACCTGCACCCAGAAAAATAGTTTCTTGATTCAAGAACAAGCTGACACAAGATAGAAATCTCCATTGAAACAAGGCAATATACGAGGGGGCAATAACTCCGGGAATCATGTGTACACTTGTCTGGGAATCATCAGGATAAAAATTCATCAAAATCAACAGAAATCGCTTAATATAAGCGGAAAACTAGTGGAACTCGTACAAGGTAGTCGAAATTGGCGTTTTCTACGACTAGAAAACCTAAGAAAAGCAGATTAGTGGACGGGAATCACTGGGAATCAAGGATTTCGGGAATCATGTGTACACTTTAAGAGGGAGTTTCCACCCCGCAATATAGCTCTTGAAATGTGACATTTCTCTTGTTCAAAAGAAAATAACAGATGGTTTCTAGTGTAAATTTGATTTTGTGTCAGAGTGCACTTGAAACAAGGAAAAATTTACTTCAAACAAGAAACGATTTTTCTGGGTGTAAAGCTAAGCTTACCGCATCACATGCATGAAAGCTAAGACTGCCTAGTTAATTAACAGGCGTATAGGCTCGAATTGGTGATATTTTTATTTTTTCACATCTTGCCCTGAAATGTTATCAATGCGCGTGCTTATCGATACTAAAGGTTATCACCGAGCGAGAAAAAGTAAGACCTTTTTAGCTTAAGTACGACTGATATTTGAGCGTTACGCGCCTACTCGTAACGTTACGGTGCGCGTCACTGGTGACATGTCAAATATGAAGTACTTAGCCTCGGCTATCTATGAACGACGGGGCGCTGCGCAATTGGGGCGTCGCAGCGGGAAAAGGACCCGTCGAAACCGAAATGACGCGAAAACGACAAAAGTAAAGCGCGA